ACTGCTTAGCAAGGACCCATTTGCAGTGTCTCTTGGCCAGACCAAGGCCACATCGACATCGGTTCCTCTTGGTGGACGCGATGGGGGTCAATCGATGCTGTCATATCTAGTTTGGGGCAATGAGATGAGAGAAGAGAAGAAGAGGTCTCGAGGGTGGAGACGTTATCTGCATCAAGTGCAAGAGCTTCCATCACCTGTCATACCACATGCTCGTGACTTGAGACTCCACCTCATCGATGAGAACCTCACCTTCAAGGAGGTTTTGGGGTGGACCGAAACTTAGGAGCCATCGTCCGGCTCACGACATGAAAGAAGCGCTTGTTGGGAGGCAACCCAACCAGTCGGTTTGTATTTCTTTCTCTTTTTCTCCTCGGTTGAGTCAGTTTTTTATTTGATTTTAGAGTCAATGACTCAACCTTTGTGAGATTTTGTGTGGTGTTTGTGTTTCGACTACTCTCTCCTCGTGGAATGCACCGCCTGCCTCGTCCACCATCATTCACCCTTGATCTGGTAACTTCGTTCTACCCTCCTTATCTTTCCTCCATTGAGGACAATGTCGTGCTTAAGTGTGGGGGGATGTTCGATTATGTATGCGAGTGAATGTTTGTCTATTTGTGTACTAGGAGCCCAGTCCACTGTCCAAATTTTTAAATTTGAGGGCTCCAAGTACGTGTTTCCTTGCAAATTACCTGTTCAGTATGCTTTGAATTGACAGTCTCTATAGTAATGTGCAACCTAGGGAGGTAGTGTAGCACTATGGATGATGTTGAACTATAAGATTTTTCCTATCTAGCTCTCTGCTGTTCTAGTTGATTTTGTGAATTAGTGGAGCTAAGACCGTTGAATTCATGTGGTAATGGTGACTCTGTTTGGATTGTGTTATGGACTCATGTATCGAACAGGGTGCTCATGTGAAAAATGAAATGTAGTTGGTCTTCCATGTCAAAATCATTAAATCTTAAACATGGGGTAAGCACAACGTGTGTGGCACCGTTCATTGCACAAAATCGGGTTTTGGAAGAGATTTTAGTGATCCTTAGTGAGGTACTCCTACAAGGTGAAGCTAAGCGGTCTCTAGTACAAGTAAAACATCCACCCGTTGAACGGTTTGCCTACTTGAGGATGTGTTTTTAAGGGCACGGATAGAGCTTTCGACCCCCCTTAATTTCATTGACCCTCCACACGAGTTGAGGAAAAGGAGTTAAAAGAAGTACTCTGGCGAGCGCCAGATGTACAAAAATTGCTCTTGCTCGACTAATAAGGGTCGACCGTGCAAAAGACTGCAGTTGGAACCCCCGCTAAGTGAATGAGAAAGATAAAAAAAGAAGTAAAGTGAAAGTGAAAAAGGGGTTCCAACGGTGAAATGAAGTGAAAGAGCACCCCAGTACAACGAGTCCTTGGTTGTGAATGGTGTGAGTCCCTTTATCCATGAACTGACCGTATTACTTCTACTTCTTCTCATGATCCTGGCTCGAGTCTAGTACTCGCATTGAGAAAGATAGGGGACGTCTTAGAAGACCAGTTGACCTCGTAAGCTGCTTTATGATCTAGAAAGTCCTCTACCGACGATCGGGGTTGTTTGTTGCTATAGAGGTATGGAGAGTTGCATTGGTTTGAGTCAGGTTTGCTTGGGGTCAAGCAAACAGTTAAGTGTGGGGGGATTTGATGACTCGATATTTGCACATGTTTTCCCCTTTGTTTCTTGATCATTTAAGCTTGCATTATCGCTTATTTAGCCTATTTTACGCTAGGTTGTGTTCCTTTGTCACATTTCAGGCCCTAGCACATAAAGTGAAGCGTAGGAACAAGTTTCAAGTCAATCGGAGATCATTTGGCAATTCGGGAGAAGAAACACGAGCATGACCTGAGGAATAATGGATTTATACATCATATTATGGACAAATTATCATGGAAGTTTGTGATGAAAAGAAAGAGGACGAGACTACGAGCGTCTGGGTTCAAACGGCGGCTGATTTGGAGTCCGGACGAGGGAGAAACGAAGCTTTGAACAGGAGCGGAGGAAGAATTACGGGCAGGAGAATTACGACCGTAATTTGGCCTCCCATGCCCGTATTTTCACTGCCGAGAGGAGATTTGGGTGCGCTGAAACTTAACCAAAACAAGTGTTTTGCGCAAAATACGGGCATGGAAGAATTACGACCGTAATTCAGCTCGTAATTCGCCCAGAATCAGGTTTTTGAGGCAGATTCGAGTCAAAGGAAAGGGAGAGCTGGGTTTTGGTTCCCAAACACCCAAGGGACGAACCCTAGAGAGAGAGAGTGACTTGGGAACATTCTTGGAGCTATTTTGGAGGATTTCTTCGCCATTGGAGCCCGGCTTGAGCTTGGAGAAGTGCCGATTGACAACCAGGAGCAGAAACTCATCCTTCACAGTATGATTTCCGCGTCTGAATCTGCTTTTGCTTCTATCTCCATGGAGTAGTTTCCCCATTCATCTGGGTATGGGGAACCCTAGATTTGTATGTTAGGTCTGATTGTATAAAACCAAGTACAGAGTTTATGATTGGATTATATTCGATTGAGGCTTGAATGATTGAATGACTTGAATCCGGATCATATTCCTGTTGTTTCCGCTTTAACCTAGAATGAGAATATCTGCCTAGGTTGATAGAGCATCCTTAATTGAAGGTAGTGAATTGGCGACTTTAGTCGAGGAGCCAATTCGCTATTCTGTACCGAATTCAATTCGGTAGTGGAGGCTTGGTTCGTTAGGGCCTCAATCTGTTTACTCCGGTGGAGGTTAGTCGCCCGCTGGAGACTCAGATTGAGAGGGTCTGGAGACCTTTAGTCGAGACTTCAGACTGTTTAAGAACCTTCCGCAGTATAACTTTCATGAAAACCGAACTTGGTAAATTGCAATCCGGCTTAACTGCAGTCTAGGGAGAACCATATCCGGGCGACCTCTCTCGACTTGAAAACAACCGTTTAACTTGCTTTGTTTGTTTGTTAATTTGGACTTGCACTAAAGTTCCATTGCTAGATAATAAGAATTCACTGAGTAGTCATCAAATCTAGGACCCGGGTTGACATTAATACCCAAACCCGCTATACTACGCTTTAGGAAGTGGTTACACTTGGCCAATTTCTAGAGTGACAGTAGGAGAGAGTCACCATGATAGCCTGACAAGTAGGGGGATCAAACCATTGTTGCAGTTTGGGTTCACACCATCGCCCTTCCCCTTGTCTGATAACCTCAGCCACCCGCAGATCACCCCCCTCCGGGAGCACCTGTGGATTATACACAGGGTGATCATGCTGACGCTTCGGTATCCAATTCGAGAAGAGGAGGGAGGCGGACTGACCATTACCAATCTGCCATTGGAGCCCTTTCTCAAGCAACTGCCTCCCAAACAGGACACTTTGCCAACCCCAAGATGGCCGGGATCGGGCAGTGGCTTGGAGGAAGGTAACCCTTGGAAAATATTTGCCTTTGTAGACTTAGGCCAGTAGCGAATGGGGCTCATTAAGGATATGCCACCCAATTTTAGCTAATAACGCCTGGTTAAAGTGCTCGAACCGGCGGAATCCCATCCCCCCATCATGCTTACTTCGACACAACTGCCTCCAAGACATCCATCGAATTCTGGAATGATCCTCTGTCACCCCCCACCAGAACCGCGCGACATGCTTATCCAATAGTCGACAGAGGGAAAGGGGAAGGCTGAAGCAAGACATCACATGTAAAGGCAATGCTAGGGCAATGGATTTGATCAATGTTTCCCTAGCAGCCCATGAGAGGGTGCGAAGCTTCCACCCTTGTAGCTTATCAAGTAATTTCTCCTCCAGGTATCGGAAGATATCCATTTTCGATTGGGGATACGAAATAGCAACCCTATTTAGTTGGACCAAAATCAAGGTCTGACGTTGGAGATGAAAATTGGTTGTGGGAGGAGAAGAAAATTGGTTCTCGGCCAGAGAGCAGTGACTCCACCAGGGGGTAGGCGCAATTGGACAAGCATTAATTGAACAGAGTTGCAGAAGGAGAGAAAGTTTTGGGATTAATTTCCGGGTAATCATCGAGAATCAATGTTAGAATAACATTTTCTACCGAAAAAAAAGGTTAGAAAAACAGGTTACTTCATACGTAATTTTTTTTCTCTATTCATTGAATTCCATGATTATGAACTAAATCTTAGTTTTTGGACCAAAATCGTAGGATGTAGATATCGAATTTGTATGATTTAATTCGAATTATTTGTCATTCTCATGTAAACGAATTGAATCATGTAATTAGGTAGTGAATTTCAAACCGTCTTTCCCGAGAGCTTCTCTCCGTTAATTTTTCCCCAAGTCAATTTCCTACTTGTTTTCTAGTTTAGTTACTACATTGTCTTTAGTTTACTACAAAAACACTTTTATTACTCAATTGATAATCTGCATATACATTTTATCGCGTCACATGTCCTGGACTTAATTTATTTAATTTTTGGATTAAATTATCACTAATTTGTACTAATATTATTGTTTTTTTAGGGAGACAACTTTATTGATGTTTGCTACACAATTGACAACATCGTTGATATAATAAGAAGTTTGGTATGAGTAATACGGTAAGTACTTATTTAAATAAAGTTTATAATAAATAAATAAAATTGTATTGACTTCTAGTGGATTGGTTTGAAAATTTTCGTATGTTTTTTTGTAGGGAGGTTCTCGAGGTGACGAAGGTGACAAAGTTGATTACACCCAATTCTTCATAAGTGCAGGTTTTTATGGTACCGAGGACAAAGCTCGGGAAGCAGCAAAGGAGATAGCAAAATCTCTCGGTTTTTTCTTGATAGTGTCGACAATCAAGCGAAATAGAGGAGAAAAATATCCGCGGATATATATGGATTGCAACCATGGTTGCAGGAGCATAGCATATATCCCAGATCCTGATAAGCCAAGGCGGAATAATACAAAGACGGGCAAGTTGGGTTGCCGATTCAGAGTGGCAGTACGTGCAAAGTTGTGGATGGTTGTTTGAAATGGAGAATTGCTGGTGTGAGGGGTTTTCATAATCACAAACTTGAGCTTTATTCTGAAGGTAGCAGCCAAAGAAATACTCTCACGAGGGAGAAGAAGGAAGACATCAAGAAAATGGAGGCATCGATGACTCAGCCGAAACGAATGAGGAAGTCTCTCAATGACAACTATGATGATCACCACAACATGAAACAAGTTTACAATGAAACCAGCAAGGTTCGTCTACAGAGATTGGGTGGCATAAAACCAATGCAGTGGACATTGAAGGAATCTCAAAAGCTCGAGTATTTCGTTGAGTGTGAATTTAATATTGATCGTCATACAAACCAACAAGCATAAGAAGCCATTGGTTCAGTTGGTTGGTGTTACTCCGGTGTAGAAGAACTTTAGCATTGGGTTTGCATTTGTGGAAGATGAAAAAAAGGAGACGTATTAGCAAATTGAAGTACTCTGCCTAGTAAAACCTGATCGATCTAAAGGATTCCTAACCCGCCTGTCTCATTTGATGGAGATACATCAGCAAACAATTGGGGCAACGTTATGATATCATGCCACATATGAACAATACCAAAGCAAACATGCTTCTACACATTCAATTCAACAATAAACAATGTGCAGTTTTCATTTTGAGATTGTTCAGTCTTCTAGTGAGAAATAGAAGGATTGCAAGTCGCCAGATCATGGGTAAACCATGATTAAGTAATTAACCCAACAATTATTCACTCAATCAATCAGATCTCATTGGATTGAACTTTTAACTCCTCAACTCCCTAAAACCCAAAAAAAAAAAATACTTTAGATGATATAATTCCGGCCACCAAAGAGGCTAAAGTTTCTCAAATCCTCGTTACAATAGAACATCGAGAACCGGGATTGGTGAGAGTTGGAAACAGGGGTCGAAGTTCTAAATTCGGGAGACGGAGGAGACGACAGGGAATGGGAATTGGAATCAGAGTAGGTGACGGGTGATGGACTCGGCATTTGTGAGGTGGCGCTGAGTGAGACAAAGACGAGGAGGGGGAAGACTAGAATGTGGAGTCTGTGAGCTCTGAGATCCGCGCAGTCGGAGTCTGTGGGCTCGGGCGATCAGGAGCTCTGGGATCCGCGCGATGCTGGCGGAGCTCAGGGACGTCAACGACCACCGACCACCGACGCGGAGAGGAGACGACGGATCCCGGGTCTCTTCGCTGGCGGTGCAAATCGCTCATCTGGAGACGAGGAAAAAGAAGCGTTAAGAGCGTTTTCTTCCAGGTGGGAGAGAGATGAAGGTAGGAGCGACCAAGGTATGAGCGTTTTCTTGCCGGGGTTTGACGGTCGGAGTTGCAAATATGTGGAAATGAAGAAGAAGCGTTTTCTTCGAGGTGGGTAGAGATGAAGTTAACCAGAAAAGAGAATAAATTAAAGGGTAAATACAATTTAATATCCAAACCTTTCATTTTAAACAATATAATAGCCAAACCTTTTCGAAAACAATCTAATATCTAAATCGTCAACTTTTCGTCTGTTTGACCGTTGGTTGACACTTCAAAAAAGCTTTGTTTAGAGGAAATTGTCACAATACAACTTTGTTTTCTTGTTTTGGCATTGCAGATGACTGAATATTCAGATATTCTATACCATCATGGTGGAGTCATGGACTTCTCGGGTTTGGAACCACGATATGTTGGTGGTTTTTCAGAGAAGATATCGATGGATATTGATGAAACGTCGTATTTTGAACTTTTTTGAAGTGTCAACTAACGGTCAAACGAACGAAAAGTTGACGATTTGGATATTAGATTGTTTTCGAAAAGGTTTGGCTATTATATTGTTTAAAATGAAAGGTTTGGATATTAAATTGTATTTACCCTAAATTAAATTAGCTTCTGTCTTCTCGACATTTGTTTGGTTAAGGGATAATATAAATTTTGTTCAAGGCTAAATATGTCAATTTAATGCGTTTTAGGGCGATAAAATTTGAATTCTAGGTCGACGAATAGCGATTCGGTAAAAATATACTGAATTTCAAATTCAGAAACCATACGCGAATAACCTGTAAGTTCGTACAAAATTGCATAATGGAAGCAGGGGGCATATATTCACGCTTTCAATTCGAAAATGCTAATTAAGTAGACCCAAAAAGTTGTTTTCAATTGTTAGTGCTTATAGTATTTCTAGTTAATAAATGTCCTCTGACATATATGTTCTTCTGTTAAAGCCACCCAGAATTCCATCATACAGTACAGATACATGAAACATGTTTATAAAAATAATATAACAGAGCTAGTACTAAATACCATTATACCAATAAAAGACACTACTAGAAAATTAGATGGATTAGTCTGTGGGAATCAATATATAAGACAAGCAACACATAAGAATATATACATATGGCGTTATTATTATGATTATCTTGATAATAAGGTGCACGTTGAGTCAGGAATAAATTTTGCTTCTAATTGAGGAAGGGCACAATCTTGCCTCTTTTCCAAAAGTTGAGCCACCTGAATCTTTTCTTTTATGCATTGACATGACCAATCGCCACTACACTACTAGACTACTCATATTGAACTAATTATGGGACAATTATACTCACAATAATTTGTGCTGGTTAAAAAGTGGGACCTCCTACTATAATTTTAAGTTAAATAACTTATATAGATCTAGATCATTAAAATCAGTTAGAATCATCTTAAACCATTGATTAAGAAAAAAAAAAATAGGGGGAGACCGGCACTGCCAGTTACTTTCACGTTACCTTTATTTTTTCTTTCCTATTTTTTATGAATACTTTCCTTTTTTTTTTCTTTTTCTTTCCATTTTGTTTTTCGTTGAACAATTTCGTTCTTTTTTACGTTAGGAGCTCTGCTTGATTTTACCCAATTGCATGTATTTAAATTTTTTTATTTTATCTTTTCATAATTTTTTATGATAGTTTTATACCGAAAATGTTGTAGAAGACTCGAATTAAATACTTTCCGTAAATAATTCAAACGTGATCGGTTAATATTCATTACGTAAAAGAAGTCCCAATTACGTAAGACTTTCGTGATGGCATTTTACAATTGTTATGTAAAATACACATCTATTACGTAATGCTTCTGTAATGACTATTGTTTCTTACGTAATAATTAAATTAGAAGCGTTACGTAAGGCTTCCGTAATGATTTCACACTTTACGTAACGCAAGGTTAATATTCATTACGGAAAAGAAGCCTCAATTACGTAAGGCTTCAGTAATGACATTTTACAACAGTTACGTAAAATACACATCCATTAGTAAGTCTTCCGTAATGACAATTGTTTCTTACGTAACAATTAAATCAGAAGCGTTACGTAAGGCTTCCATAATGCCTTCATACTATAATCTTGATTTTAAATGTATCAAGTTCAAACTTATTGAATAGTATCTAATTATAAAAATCAATCTATATCACTTTTATAAAAAAAAAGAAAAAATTTGTGCTCATTACTCATTAGATTCCTTTCTGCCTCATTTGATTGGTGGGTTTATTGCTCCGTGTTAATTGTCATAATCTTACACCTAGTTTGCTCTAGTATAACCTCTAAGGTGGTGTGGTTAAGCAGTTGACCAAAATCGTATACCCTGGCCGAGAAATCCATTGTTACTCAAAAACGGTATATAAAGTATCTATTGTATTAATTAGATTGTACAGAGTCTAATCAGTACAAGCTAAACTAACACACTAGATCAAGAAAGATGGTATCTAGGGTTCGTTTCCTTCCTCTAACATGTCGGGAGATGCATTGTAACTGATAATGGACGTCAAACTATAGTGTATCGAGACATGCACGAGAATTGCTAATATAGAAACTGCTATAATGGTCATGTCACACAATTCTTCTCCTAACCACTTTCATCAACTTAATGGTCATGTAATAGACTTTCGTAATTAGGGATGAGCCCTATCCTCCTTAAATGAGTTTTAAACATACATCCTAAATGTCTCGATGGTCAGAGTGTTATCATCCGATTTCCTCTAGATTTATAACATTTCTTGAGAAAATTAATTGGTTGATCTATAGATGAGATCATTTACCTGAAAAATAAATTGTTTCATGAGTATACGTAAATAATACAATCGAGCATAGATTTTATGGATACATGATTAATATATGAAAATCTTCTTCTGCCTTCCAAACAAAAGAACTTTTGTTAGCTCCAATGGGTGCTGCAGCAAGACAAAAAAAATCTAAGGATTGCAAAACGGTAAAGGAGGTTGTACCGGAAAAACAAGCAGTAGGATTTTGTGTACTGAAATTGTAGTTCACCTACAATTTCATACAACTAAAATTCACCTACCAAAAATGTATTTTTTATGCTTCCTTCGGTATTACGGTAATAAGTACCAAAAATTGGATTGGTTACAGTTACGGTATTACAAATAGGGGTGTCTATACGTTCCGGTCTCGTTAAATTGACCAGAATCGATCCGGTCCCAGTCCGGTCTTTTCGGGAATATAATGACCGAAGATTGGATTGGAAACAGTCTGGTCTTGATCCGGTCCGGTCTTGACCCTGTCCGATCCCAATTCGATCTTGATTGTAGATTGATCTTGTGGGAGTTTGAGTGGCTTGAGGTCTCAAACGGTGAGGAGTTGGTTAAGTTTTGGGTGTTGGGCTCTCTTATCCGGTCTTTATTCGGTTTTCGATCCGGTTCCAAACAGTTCTTTACCTCAAATCTAAACCCGAAGATGGGATTGGATTGTTTGCTATCCGGTCCCGGTCCGGTCCCGATCCGAATTATATGATCTGGTTTCGGGTAAAACCAAATAACCCGGACCAAATAGCCAGCCCTAATTACAACCACTTAACCAGTCCCATTATCACTACTCAATCCTGAGTAGGAGCACTGGTATCTTCTCTTCTTCTTCATGCGCCAACTGTAACCTCTGATGGCCTAGAAAACAAAAACAAGGTTAAGATAGAGGCTTTCTTTTCCATATACGTTGCATTGCCAGGTCGTCCGCCCAATGAGAGGAACCAATTCCAGGGACCCAATACGACAAAAGTAAGACGACCAAAGGATACATAAGAGGAAGTGACTTATGTAGAAGCTTGCTAAATCTAATAACGTGATATGATAAAATAACATCTGGAATAATAGAGAATTTATAAATTGATAATTCACAGAAAGCACCCTTTTTTCCTTCTTCTATCTAAGCAGCATCATCATCATCCTGTACGTACCTGAAGAAGCTATCTATCTCTAACCGGACTATAAAACCTACATATATATATACGGGCCCTTCTATAGATATATCACCTTCTAAGTTCATCCAAGGAAAGCAAAACTGGAGGGAAAAAACAATGGCAATAAGCAGAGCGGTGGAGCCTCTGATAGTCGGGAGCGTGATAGGAGACGTGATGGACTACTTCACGCCTTCCATAAAAATGACGGTGGTCTATCCCAACAACAAGCTGGTCTCCAATGGCCACGAGTTCTTCCCTTCTGCTGTCGCCTCCAAGCCTCGCGTCGAGATCCATGGCGGCGACCTCAGATCTTTCTTCACCCTCGTCATGACCGACCCCGATGTGCCTGGCCCTAGCGACCCTTTTCTAAGGGAGCATCTCCACTGGTAGGATGCTCGATTTATGAGATTGCCTGAAAAAAATATTGATCCATTAGTAGTTGAAACGATTGCGTGAAAAAAATAATTTGTTATATGTTTGATGTGCAGGATAGTGACGGACATTCCAGGAACAACGGACGCCACATTTGGTAAGTACGTACGCGAGTGTCATTAACCAGTTGGTCCTAATAACTCGAGTTGTTGGGAGAAGGCTATGCTGGATCTTATACCACACTCTAACACGTCCCCTCAAACGAAAGCCAACTCATGGGCTTGAAGTTTGCACAGGCCCACCATACCTTGTGCTTTAATCAACTGTTAATATTGGGGTCGTGGAGATTCGAACACACGACCACTTGGCCAAACCAGCTCTGATACCATGTCATAAACCAGTTGGTCCCAATAACTCGAGTTGTTGGGAGAAAGTTATGCTGGATCTTATACCACACTCTAACAGCGAGTATATATGAATATCACACACTCAAATATCTAAATGGTCTTCTTCAATTGTGAGCTGGAGATATTAAAAGTCTATCTTCACACTCGAACCCGCGTCGATCTATTTAGTCGCTTCTTAACTTTTGTGGTTGTGGGTTCGAATGTGATGACAATATCTCATGTACTTGGCTTTTATGGTTGCGAGTTCGAGTATTGTTGATGATGACTTTCAATATCTCATGTTATGACGAGAGAGGTGTGTGTGTGTGTTGGTGCAGGAAGAGAGGTGGTGAGCTACGAGATACCAAGGCCGAACATAGGGATACACAGGTTCGTGTTTGTGTTGTTCAGGCAGGATCGAAGGCAGTGCTTAGTGGCCAACCCTCTCCCTCCTTCTTCGTCGTCTTCTTCTGCGAGGGACTATTTCAGCACAAGGGACTTCGCAACCCTCAACGGTCTGGGCCTCCCCGTCGCCGCTGTTTACTTCAATGCTCAACGCGAGACCGCTGCCCGACGGCGATGATAAATGGATTCTTCATTAGCTTAGCTACCTGCCCGCCAGCCATAGCTACTAGCTACCCGCGGCCGGGAAAAGAGTTGATTATCATGGAGAAGAAAGATCGACCGACCACTAGTACTCTACGTACGTACCTATAATTGTGTTGTGTTGTGTGCGCGTTTTTTGGTTGATTGACAATTTTTGCGCTCGTTGGAGAAAAGATTGGGAAGATATGATGCACATCAAGCTGATGATGATGATGATTCTACGCCATGCATGATATGTTTTTAAAGTTGTTATGGACGTTTTTGTTCTCTTTTTCTTCCTTTATTGGAGGACTGTTTTGTTGTATACTTACCTAATTCCCACGTTGCCTTTGTTTCAAGGGAATTAGGGTTGCAAGGTTGAGATATATATGTGAGTTACGGCGGTTCTGGCCAATAGCTCAAGAGCACAAAAAACAAAAACAAAAACTCCCAAGTTTTTGTTGTCGGTGGAATTAGGGCATTCACATCGAATTGAAAGAATCACGTAAATCGCGTGTTGGCCTTTTTGGTTATTTTCAAAGAATTTATATGGTTCTAGAATTACAAGTGGACCCCAAAACGTTTTGTTTCATCATTCATTTTTTCTCGTCCCGTCTTTATAAAATGTTCTAAAACTTGTTGGTGTGGCCCTTCATATCATTGACCTTCTGTCATGGTGCTCATGGAGAACTTGGTAGATTTTCTTGATGATCTCAACGAGAGTAGTCCACTAATCCTTGTTATCTTCTCTCGGATAGTGACGTTAACTCCCATTTGGCAAAAGCGAATCCAATTTAGACACTCAATTTCGTCAACTGACAGCTCTTGGCTCTAGAGATATCTATCTATATATTCCAAAGAAATTAGATATAGAAAAGCATGCTCAACTCACTCCATTCGCACTCTTGGTCTCCTCGGGTGATTCAGTTATTGTTCTTCTTGTACTTACTAGAATCAATACCCGCGGCGGCTACGTAACGCCGCAGGAACTAAAATTGCAGTAACATGATCGTATGGTAGTCGGTTTAGGTGACACCAAATTACGGTTCGTTGTGCTACTGACAACAGTGTGTTTAAAAGGTTTAAAAGTATGTACATAAGACTTTTGTATATTGAGTTCCATTGGTGATCAACATAGGAATATAGTCTGTGGTACAGTCGTAGGCGAGACTAGAGCTGTTAAAATGTAATCCTGTAAAAAATGTTATATATCATCGTTCTAATGGGCTCATGATTAAGTGCTGAAAATATATAGGCAACATTAAATAACAATATTCTTACTTTCATGAATAGTTTAATAATACACATACTCTTCGTTCTAATGGGCTCATGATTAAGTGCTGAAAATATATAGGCAACATTAAATAACAATATTCTTACTTTCATGAATAGTTTAATAATACACATACTCTAAGCGTTCCCTACCAAATCCAACTTATTAACATACTTCAACTAAGTAAATACAAATTCAAGATTACTTCTTAGAGTTTCCTACCAAAAAACCTAACAAATCTCTATTCAGTTTTGCACTTGCATCTCTTATTTCAGTATGTCTTTGTTTTTTTATGTCTACAAATTTGAAGCGACATAAACTTCGAGTTTTACATCTCCAAGTTCTACCTTGAATTTCTTCCCCTATTCTTTATCTGGGTTGCCCTTTTATTCGCAATTTTCACCTTCCTGCTAATCTCATTGGATTGCATGATCTGATATTTCCACTCCATCTGGGATTACCACCACCACTTCCGCTCCCCCTGCTATCGTCTTCTACTATACGTTGTCAGAATGTGAAGGAGAGAGGAAGAATAAAAGGGATTGGTATGGCTGAGAGTCTAAACAACGGAAGGTTGGGTGATTGAAAAGACAAGTCATTGGAGAAAATGAGAGGGACGTGACCGGAGAGGGTGGAATGAGGGAAGGTGAAGTTTTTTTAATTTGATGGTCAGTAGTGAGAGGTAAAGTGAAGGTCAGTTCATTGGTACTTGTGGAAGCCTATCTCATTTCTTTTCATCATTATTCATCAGTGCGAGGGATTGGGGAAGGGGCAAGAAGACTCTCTCTCGCTAGAATGCACTAAACTTGCAACACAATATCGATATGCAAACCACAAAAAGAGCTGCATAATGAGGATCTACAAAGACTGCTTCAATATCTGACAAACAAATGAATTCCACAAATCACAGAAGTTCTTGTCCATTGTCCCCTTTAGCTTGTCTATTGCTATAAACCAAAACTCAGAAGCTCAATCTTATGACACTGTACCGCTTGTGATAGTAATTAAACAAATAAGCTCTTAGACTAAAGGAAGCAGTCTATAAAATAAGCAGACATTAACCCTATTTTACGACGGAGGTGGTTAAGGAAGCATATACAAATAAACTGCCAATGAGATGAAGGTAACTGAAATTCAGCTGCAATATAAGGCAGGAGGCAAAAGCAAAATACCAACCTATTTAATTTACCGTAGTTATTGTAATGAAAGCCCGAAAGAAGGTATGGATTAAAGAACCCTGAAAAGCAGGATCATTTTCAGAAAGGTATGTATTGAAGAGGGGTTCTCAAAGCAAGAAGGATTATAATTGTAGGCTCGAAACTAAAAAGCTACAATATGTAAGCAATAATTTAACCTTCATTATCAAAACTCTTCTTTTGATTGTTAGTAACCTAATTTATGTAATCTACAAAGAGAGAGAGAGATCATGAAAAGTACTCCGAAACATTGCTGACATAACTATGGCACATAAGATAGGATCAGAATTACAAGCGCAGGGGAAAAAGTGTTGCAGCAGTAGACAAACGAAAGAAGCTTGAAAGATAAGGATTCTAACCATAAAGCAAGCATGACTCCAAGATAGTGTGGTCTGTGTTCTTAAACTCTGCAGGGGCACTATTAATGTGTTTTTCGATCCCTGAAGTTAGTTCGTTCTGTTCATTTGCTGCTTCTCGAGACTTTGAATGGTGAATTTTCATCATAGTCACACTTTTCAGTGTCAGTGTTTCTGAGCTTCTAGTAAGCTCTGGACTTTCATTGGCCTCATCCACTTCAGTTGCGATTGAATTCTGCAAGTAAAATCAAGTTACCTTTATGAGATCAAATAAACAGATGCAATTGAAACTAAAAAGTGAAGTATTTTCGTCCATAACTCCAAGGGAACTTATTCTGCCAATCTACCGTGTAAACATGAGATGCCTAGTAATGTTTATGATATTGAGATGCTTAGTAATTAGGATCCACATTTTCATTTGGCATCATCATCATGGTGATTCCAGCCTTCTTAAGAGCCATATTGGAACCCCTTGATAGCACAATCATCAATGTATACATTATACATACATTTAGGGAGAAGTAAAAAACAACATTGTAGTCAATTTGGCAGAATCCATGACCCAATCAATCACAAAATAACCACAGCAAGAAGAGAGAAAGAGTAGATTATAATGTTTAGAAAAGAGCTAAATTTACCATTGAGCAGAAGCAGTTTGCTTTCCCACTTCACGTGCAAGAGTTGAGAATTATTTAGAAAAAAGCATAAAAGTAACAGCCTTCTACTAAAAAGAAGACTTCTAAGTGAAAAATTTACTACACTTCTGCTACAAACACAGACTTCCAATCCTTTGTTTATTTTCCTGTTGTTTCATTCTCGTGACTTTCCCCTTGACTTGCCTTGCTTAAGACACTGTTGGTTTCCATTTATAAACCAGTAATCCGTTAAAATGACAACATCCTCATTAAGAAATGAAAAACAACAGAAGTGAGTATCTGACATAATTAGCAATTTATTAAAGCCAAACTTAGAAATTTGGTTATGGTGGTCAATTATCTACCGAAGATGCCAATCAGTTACTTTTTTCCAAACTCAATACTAAACTAACAAAGTCTTTAGGCAGAGAATTTGACCTAGAAAGGGATTACAATTCTTGTAGTTGATGAAGTAAAATTCTCTAATGATATGAATGGATACGCAAAGACTTGACACGTTAGTATCCCGTACATTACTTTCAGTAATGTGTTTGCAACTAAAGTTGAGATATCAAACACAGGTTGATCAACATATGGGATTTTAGGTTGGATGCAATAGACGATGCAGAACTGGAATGCTAAAATTGTAAAACGAAGCCCAGGGCCTTCCTATAACTAATTTTACAGTCAATCTTGTGATGGGTAAATGGGTTAATTCTATAAATGAAATTAGGTTTTCAGTTCACATATGACAATCACGAAACCAATGTACATAAACAAAGGATACCTACCAACTCCAAGCTGAGATACTTTGGTATAGAAGAGAACGAGAGTTAGACTCGGGAATGGAAATCCATAACAGGATTGTGGTATGTGCACCCTAGTTGCAACAAAGGAATTCATGGTCGGAAAGAAACTAACAACCCACAAAACAAATTTCACGGCCATGTCAAAGTGGTTATGAAATATGCATATGACCATGGGGAAACCAACCAACAACTTATGTTTTGTGCGACCAATTGGTTGTGGGACAACACCATTAAATTCAACACAACTATGGGTCTCAGGAATTGAAACATGAACATAAGAGAAAACCAAATACATGGTTGTGGGTTGATGAGGGGTAATGGAGATTTGAGTTTGACAGACAGTTGAATAAATCAAAAGAAGGAAATTAGAGGGAAGATTGGGGAGGAAGTAGAATATCAGTGCCAAGCCACGGGAAGAAAAACCTAAACGACAATCCATGATCTCCAGAAATATTGAAAGAACTTACCTGGTTAGTAGTTTTGAAACTTTCATCCTTTAAAAGGTCTGAACCTACAATCCCGTAATTTGTATTTGAAATTGAACATATTACTGAATCCTCCTCCGCAATGACACGACTTACTGCATTAAAAAGCAAACTTGCTTACATCCCATCCAAGTGTAAGAGTTCCAAGCATCAATTACCAGGACCCAGGCCAAACAAAGCAAATAGGAGATCATAATCTACCAAGGAAAAAGATTCCAATGAATATCTTGCTTCATATTGGCCTACTCAGATAGCTAGAGTTCGTTATTGTCGCTGCCGTCCTGTCCTTCAGGCCACCAGAAACAGGAGCCGACCATCACTGTGATGAAACATCATAAAAATTAATCCAGCTGGGACATCAAAAATTGTTCCAGCTAGCTAGGTATTGTACCCGACTTCTGAATAACGAACCTTTCTTTTTCTCCCTTCATCGTGCTGAGGTTGATGACCAATTGATCAACGATTGATCAATGACGGTTGGTAGAAATGCTTCATCGGCCAACGGGTTCCATGGCTACTTGTCTATCAATGGAAAAATCACATTGGATCCACAGCCATCATTGCCAAAGTGTCGTCGTGGCCGCAGCCAACATCGATCCTCTTCGTCAACATCTCAAACCGCTGGAAAAGAGGAAGCCAAAATTGGCGGCCTCCGGATTTATGAGAGATGTTTTAGAGTTGTGTTTCGGGGAAATAGAGAAGCAAGGGGTCTCTTTGTTTGAAGGTTTTCGTGGGTAAGAGGAGACTTGTGGAATGGAACTAAAAGGACCATGGATGCATTGCAGAAGGAAAGAAAGAACTGATGGTGTAGGCAGAAGAGTTGATAGTGAATTGGAAGAAGATTGGGAGTGATGTGATTGGACATTGGAGAGGGAAGAGTGTAGAGAAAGATTTGGCAGGGGAAGGGGCGGCAGAAAGAGATGAGCAACCTATTTTCCTTTTTTTTCCCCTTAAAGTTTTGAAGTACTTCTTCCGTTCATTTTAGAGCTGGTGAGGGATTGGAGAAGATGGGGAGCACTTTCACTAAAAGACAAACATTGAAACAGTAAAGAGGATTTTTAGGCAACAGATTGTTGTGGCCTTTTGATCTGCTGATTAATATGGACAAAGATTGACAAAGTAAATAGGGCGTAAATGTGTACTTGACCAATGAACTTGGAAATACTTAAGCACAACTGAGAAAGACATGTAGGTGGCATGGAATTCATACTACATAACAACATTGCAGTAAGCGAGTGGATGACAAACTTCCTTTTCCATGGGCTGATAAAGAAAGTTGGTCCACAACATTCATACTACATGATAACAATGTACTGAGATAATTGAAGAGTCCTGATAGAGGTACATTAATAATGGCTACGCAAAATAAGGCTGGAAGTGCATGCGTTCCGTGCACGTTGGCAAAATATTAGAGGAACTCAATTGCGAGCGAAATTTACGGTCACCTTGCACAACCTTACACACCCTCACAGGTATGATCCACGGCGGGAGCTGGATTCAATGGCAAAGGCGAGTGGATCCCAGAGGGTGGTGACCTCAAACGGTGAACCGGCAACATCTGTTGGCAGGGGGAGTCCAATTTCAGCGGTGAAGACCTTCCCTATGGCAGATTGCAGACATGCATTCACAGATGCTTCATCAAGACCGACGTAGTCGCAAGCAGCTTTTTGGTGTAGGAAGAAGCAACATCATTATCAAAGAGGAGAATGCAAGAGGTAGAGGTTGAGATGTCTTTGCACTCCACATTCATACGATACCTGCAGAAAGGGCGGTCTATTCATAAGTTTCTGTGTTTTGTTCCAGTTTTTTCTTTACAGCCACAATGTACATACCTAGGATAGTGAGTGGTATCAGGGTGATATTGAGTGATACTTGTATTGGTGTGGATTCGCTTTATGGTGATTAGGCACCAGCCATGCATATGTGTGTGTACCCCTCTATGAGATCCTCCTGCATGTTAACCATGAATCAGTACATACCATCATTTATACATTAATGAGGAGGTACGAAGGATCAATAATGTGGGAAAATACATCTTTATCGATCCAAAGGTTGTGCACCACCCAAATGCATGGTTCTGTTTCGTAGCAACTATGCATCCAAAAATGCAGGAGGCGCAAGATGATTGGTTTGTTATTCGTACCAGGTTCCAAGCATTTGATGGTAAAAGGTGCATGCGAAAAGTCTGCCACGAAGAGGAGTGGAGAATGTCGTTAAAGTTCCATTGGGTCAACAGACATTCAGCAAAATGTGTTCATCATTGAAAGACTTACCCGTAGGAGCCAGTCGAGGTTGTAGTCTTCCAGCATCACGACGGTTTATGTCGTCTGGTTGTAACGCGACGGCCATTTGGTTGCGAACACAGTGAAGAGGGTGATAAGAATTCTTTGCTGTGGATATCAAGGGGTTGCCAGGTGCAGGGCATGAGGGTCGATTATATACTAGTTGGTGAATTCTGAAAGCCATACCCGGTGGCGTGTATGCTTAGAATTACGAGTGAGCGGGTGAAGTTTTAGTACCGTTTAGGGTTACAGATTGCACTGAATGCTTCATATGGAAGAGATTAGGAAGCCTGACTTGTAAGGTCCATGGAGGATATACCCTTGGACAGCAAGCCATATTCTGAACACTTAGAAAACTTGGGAGGTGGGTGTTTAAATCGTTGAATTGTGAACGAAGGTTACCAGGGTAAGGGGCAATGGCAGTCTGTACAGCCTTTGATGAGTCACGCGGTGGCCAGGTACGACTCTGTGTTGCCGTTCTTTGGCTATGGGTTATGGATATGGATATTGGACCTCACCGGAAGGTGGGTAGTGGGCTAACTTGTATTGGGCTGGCAGTAGTGGCAGTGACGGTACTGTCTTCTGGCCTTTCCCTTACCCTGGTAAAGTGCCTACAGAGGGTATAGTGGCCTTTTGAATTTCACGTTTCTTATGGGAAAGGTAGCCAAAATTCATGTCATACAACTGGGTCAAGTTGTGTTGTTGAGCGAAACAAAAAAATGCCAGCTTAGTCACAAATTTGCAAGACCAAATTCCTATAGTAAAAAAAATTTGGGAAAACAATCCATGTGCCCCTACAAATTAGTCTGGAATAATAGGGCACTGACTGCTCTCATTCCCAGCAGCTAACGACTTCAGCTAGCACTTGTGATAGAGTTTGTTGTTCCATGTGGAACTGTACACAACCGAGAAGCAATGTCAGATAAACCGTAGAACAAAAAGGGGAGGTACCAATGGGAATGGAGCCCAACCTTCAAATAGACGGAACGTAGTGTCATGGTACTCTTGTAAAAAAAATAGATAAATAGTTGAAGATCGCGATAGGTTGGAGGGTGAAAGGAACTCACGAAATGAATTGCAAGCAGCATGGAATGGTTGTCGTTGACCTTGAAAACAGGAGGGTAAGGCCTACTAATCACTTGAGAAACAAACGGAAAACACAACAATCTAAATTGTATGAAGGTAGAGTCTACTTCATGACATTGAAACTGTATGTGACAAAATATTTTTCCGGCCCTGAATAAGCCAGTTTGCACGACCAAGAAAGGCTGCAAAGTTGGCCTTGGTTGATTGTCTAAAAGGCAGAGTTCACTCCATGACATTGAAACTGTATGCGTCGAAATGTTTTTCGGGCCCGAAAAAGTAAGTTTGCACGACCAAAGAAAGCTGCATACCAAGGTGGTCCTTGCTTGATTGGATAACTGTATGCACAGAAAACTGCAAAAGGGTCTTGATCGTTGAAATTCATTCCAGCCAAAGTGGAAGAACAGCGTTTGCTATGCTATCAACCATGTTGATGAAATGGCTGCAAAAGGCTTCAAAACTTTGTTCCTGGGATTGCAGGCTGGTATAGTTGTACGCAAACACTTTAGCAAGAGGACAAAAAACAAACTGAAATCACAGGTTGATAGTGGTACCAAGGATTCAAGGGTTTCTCGATGATACCTTGATACACGATGGTAGGTACAACCATGAAAAGGTGGCCTACATAACAGTGGAAAATGAAAAATGTGGACAACCTGTAAAGAGGCAAACGGTCCCCATTAATGGTGGCGAAATGGCTTCCTTGGGTTGGCAACAGTTATGGCAAACGAATTAAGGAAGGGAAATTATTGTCTTACGTGGATGTTGCGTGCTAAAAGGTTGCATTCATAGTTGCCGGCCGTGAGTTCCATTAGGGACCTTGAACTGGGACATCAAAACCAAGGGGATCACAGTCAAAATAGACGAAACCAAAGTACCAGTCAATGTGAATATTGGTGTAACAATAACCGAAACCCGATCCTCAATTACCTGGCACATATAACTCATCGTACAGTTCATTGTAGACAACATTCTTGGTGCGGCTTGCATCAACCAACATCATTGTGAATGAGGAATCTCAGGCCCTCTGCTGATCTAACTCGGGAGACAGCTTCATATAGCTGGCCATGACTGAAGACATGTTTGGGCAAGAAGACCCCTGCTCTTTCCAGCGCATGACCCAGAATTTTGTTAATAGTCATGGCGTAGAAAAGACGGATTGGGAATTGTTTGCGCTTCATTGTAAAAGGCCACCTGTGTTTGCTAAAATTTAAAGCAATTCTCGGGATAGCAACCACCTTCCCCTCATATGTGCCAGTGAGTATGATTTCTTTGACGACATTTTCCCCCAGCTGTGTAACCATCAAACGTGTTTCAAAGCAAGTTCGTGCTCAGGGAAGCCATTGAAAGATAGGGAATTTAAGAATTCTATGGGGTATAGGATGTCGAGTTCCGAAGTATCAGTGGATTCAGTACACAAACTATCAGTGCTATAATACACCCTTGTTTCCTCCGGAATATATGACAACACCGCAGAATTAATGGCAGACACAGTTTCATTTGTTGGCGTCACTATAGCACGATTCTTGAGAAAGGAAACTAACCTAAACTGATGGAGCAACCCATGGAAGGCAAAGTCAATGATAGGCTGGATTGAAGTGCCATTGGCTGGTAGGATCAGGTATTGTGGAATTTTGATCCATGATGCTTCTAAAGATCCTTCAAAGTTCATCATTGGTGCGAGTCCATCTCCAATTGCAAGAATCCACTGTGGGAATGTCATGACACTAAAGATTGTTGTGCTATTGACATCGTCATGATTAATGCGGATGTTCGGTTGCAGACTAAGCAGGTGGCAATGTGCCCAAAGTGGAGATCGCACAATCGAGGTGTTAAGGGTTGATCCCCGTCCTCCCCCAGGTACGACAGGTAGAATTTGTCGAAAATCCCCACCAAGAAGGATCCTCTTGCCACCAAAAGGTTTGTAGGATTGTCCAACAGAGGGAACGCCCATGATGTCGCACAACGTTCTGCTAAGAGCCTCAAAACAAAAACGATGGGTCATGGGAGCCTCATCCCAAACAATGAGTGAGGTCTGCTGCAAGAGCTCTGACAAATGAGTACCCCTCTTTACCCTGCAGGTAGAAGACCCATCTATGTCGATCAAAATTTCAAATCGTGAATGGCCAGTAGATCCATCCGGGAGTAGCTTCGCTGCAATACCTGATGAGGCAACAACCAAATCAATTTTTTGTTGACTCCGCAGCTCAGCCACAATTGTGTTATACAAATAGGTATTTCCTGTACCACCATGCCGATAGAGGAAGAAAAGCTTTCCGATTCCACTGGTGACAGAGTCCATAATCTGTTGGTACGCTGCAAACTGATCTTTGTTCATTGTTGTCAAAATGTCGCACGCTGTGCGCCTCTGCATGCACAGGTCATAGTTAAGATGCTCACAAAGAAGTCTGTTTCTGAGCAGTTTAGCAGCAGCACAGTTGCTGACAGGACACGGCAGGTTATAGTCGGAAAGTTCCTTCGAATGGGAATGCAACAGAGTCTCTATATGCTTGAGAACCTCACTGCGCAGATAATCAAGCGGTGGTTGGAAGTGGTGCAGGTCCACTAATCTACAGGCTTGATAAGAAAGATCATCTACAAAAAGTTGCCAATTGTCTTCGAACAACTTGCATGGATCAGCAACCTCTAAATGCACCAAAAGCAAGACAAATAGAGATCTAAGCAAGGTAGGCATTCCCCATTGACCAACTTCTCCTATAGTTGCCTGAGACTCATCGTCAGCGCTCAAGAAGCCATGTTTCATACATGCATTTTTATAGTCCTTACATAGTTGGACATCAACAGTCGTAGAAAGTACACGTCTGTTGTTCTAAGAGGGATAAAAACGATACGACCGATAAGATGACCTTGCTGCCGCCTTGCCCAGTGCTTCCGTCGCAGGTGGAATGTGTAGTGAGAAGGGATGTCTGCATATCCTATTGATCTTGCGCTTGGACCAACACAATTGAGAGTGAAGTACTCCATCAGCATAGTCTTTGCCTTATCTGGATCCTCAACGACTGACTATAAGCCTGTATAAAAATTATATGCCACGGACTGTTGGTCCTTCAAATGGATCGGAAGGCAAACAACGACAGGAGTTCGCTCATGAATGGGAAACTCGTACATTCGCCACATTGCCTCAAAGGAAGAGAGGACACGGCAGTCCATATATTATTGGATTTCATCCCGAACTCCTTGCTGGGAAACACCAGTAGCGGCAGACTGCTGCCTGGACAGTTTTCAACGACAATTGTAGCCTGATCCCGAACTTCTTGAACAAATACTTTATCAGCCATCCTTTGTGGCAGATTTCCACATTGATGTGAGCCTGGAACATGACCAAGAGGTTTCGATTGTAGGGCACAACATGACGATTGTCAAGGATGCCATTAGTCTTCTCGAAAGTATGTCCATGATCTCTACGACGATAAATAATATAACCGCTATGATCATATGTAGTTGTTGAGTTGAAAGGTTTGGGGATATGTTTTTTGCATTTCCCATCGATCATACAGGGAGACTTGTGATTTGCCTGTCCACAAGGCCCGTGGAGCATGAATCTTGTTACTGTTGCATAACCAACAGGGTCCTTCTGTGGATCTGGAAGTTCAACAAAAATAACTGAGTCGATGGACTCAATAGTTCTAAGCTTGGCATTCTCATGCAGCCAAACCGAAAGATGAACATGTGGTAGGTCGCGCTTCTGGAGCTCAATTGTATGTATGTCTGATAAACAACAACAATAATCAATGTTTGTGGTGAGTAGCAGATACATAACTACTAAGTTTGAGAGGATTTTCTCTTTGGGTTGTAAAATGCAATAGGGATGACATAAGAAGAAAGTAAATTAAGTAGTGATAACAACATAGATGTGGTGATAAGAAATAAGTAATGACTAACCTGCAACTGATTTTCCGAAGAATTGATATTTGTGGATCTGTTCCTTCAAAGCAGCAACCTTCATTCTGAAGACACGAACAACAACATCAGGTTTATCTTCTGGTTTGATGCCAACAACACTTTTAAAAGCTTCAGTGATTCAGGCCATTGTGAATTGCAAGTAAACGTTATGAAGAGGGATGGATTTCCTATGCGCCTGCATATGGCCTTGGCATCAAGGTACTGATGCTTCACGTACCGCGGTCCACCTGTATATGTTGATGGCAAAATCGTTCCAACATCCTTTCCAGAGGTATCACCCTTGTTGTAAGCATCGCAAATTCCCTTGTACAATTATGCTCGTAGGAGTTTCTGGTTAAGTCGCATTAACTTAAGGTGATTATGCTCAATAGTTGAATATGCATCTACGCAGTAATGTTGTAAAGCCTTGCCCCCGCGCATTAAAGTATTTCCTGTTGCTGGCGTCGAGCGCGAGATGCCTGCTCCTCCTCCTGTTTTGATTACACCTGCAAACCCTAACTCTGCCTTATGATACAAAGACTCGAACTTGACACAGAAGAAGAATTGAGCGAGCTTAGGAATAATGGGCTTGTTAACTAAAGCCCAGAACAACAAGTGTTCTTGGTTAGGTCTGCTAGAACGTTTAGCTTCCTTTTCTCAATGTTGTGCGTTTTGATATCAACCTCCCTTCTCTGCCTTTTGTCTTCGAAGATTCAAATCCCCTGTTCTTAATGAAATTACCAGGCAAAACTAAAAAAGAGTAAGAACCAAGAGCATAAAGAAATTCAATCACACAAACAAGGCACTTTTACGTGGTTTCCAGAGTTGGGTGAAAATGATTCCCAACTCTGACTACTCCACGGAAGAGAGATCACTGATTTGTGATTCTCGTCAATTCACTAAGATTATTTGCTTTCACGCTCCGATTCGGAGTCACACTCTAGGTACAATTAACCCACCACTCCAGAAAGGCTAATCCGAAGACCACTACACAACTTTCAACTCAGCTATCCAGCTACTGTGTTTCCAACACACCCTCTAATTCACTATCACTCCTGATCTTGGATTAGAGCTACTTTTCTTATCACTCGTTGCTCACAAAACTCCTTTGTGCTCCTGAACGAGTTAATCACCGAAAAGCTGCCTCTCTTCTTTGCGTTTGTGCTTTTTGTACTTCGTAGCAGCTAGCCGTTGATCTTCAAGCAAGGTAATTCTCCCTTATTTTGAAATCCTTTCCTTATATGCTTTGCTTGAGGTGATCCAATTGCTGAGCCAAATCTGCCACCCTTGCACTTTGATATTTCTTTCCAACTACAGAGACTTGATGGCCACGACTTCCTTTTTCTTCCTCTGTGATTGATGACTGGCTTCCCTACAACATTTCCTTCATTGGCACGATGCTGTAAACGAAAGGCGTGGAATTCTCGTTCAGTCACATTCTTCCTTTTAGCATTTGGAGCGACATGAACATATCATATTTGATGCCCAAGTGGAATCTTTATTCACCATATGGAAAGAGGAGAGGGAATTGCAAAGCATGGAATTATGGATTTAGACAGTCTATGCGCTTCAGCCCGTCTTCACGATGATTTATGATAATGTCTCTGCCGTCCTCGTCAGCACTGAAATCGCCAGGTATAAGGCTTGCGACGTCTAAACCAGTAGGAAGGTCATATTGTCTGTTGTTAATATGGCACGCCCCTGTTATGCGCAGTCGCAAATTGTGATTAGCCGGATCCCGAACTTCCCTGGCGACGCGTCGAAAACTCTTGACCAGCTCATTTGTTTCATCCAACATCTTTATCAAACCTTCCACAATGCGAGGTTTAAGAGCCAAGCTGGTACATGAGAAATTTGAAAGTCGATCACCTACTTCATCTTCTGTGTCAAATACATAGAGTTGTGAGAATTTAGCCTTCTGTAGGCAGCAAAGTACCCATGTGATGGTAGTATGGACCTGACGACTTAGTAACCCGTCGATCAAGTTTGGCACCTACTGAACTCATCGAAAACATGCCATTGTAGGGCCGTATTTCCTTGCGAAAATGCTTAGACTCCGAACCACCATTAACATCCAACAGGCTGTTGAGGTATGCCGGAGTTCGTTGTAACAAAGAGATCGAGACCTTACCATGGCTGTAGCAGAGGGAGAAAATCGGCATAGTCTTCTGGCGATGGCGATTCAGGCGTTCAACATACCAAAACATAGCCCCGCAATATGGACACATGCACTCTGGCATACCAAAGTCCAAAATGGCATCTTCCCAGAAAACAATACCATTATGATTTTCAGAGCTGGTTCAGTGGTAGCAGAACGCGTTCTAGCTCTTTTAGAGCGAGGCCCAGCAGAATTTGAGGTCAGCTGTTCTGGTATGACAGAGCATGAGTTTGAAGATGGACTTGTAACATGGTCTGATGCCTGTAGGTGGGAACCTTCCATTTCAGATGACACACCGTTGTGTTGTTTTCGCCTGCATGCATTCTTGTGCCGCGGGATTGACGTTGTGGTTAGATCATCGGGCGAAGTGGTGCCATGTTGACCAAGGGGCGCAGCAGGGCAGTCCGTGGAACATTCTGGACCGTTATTGGTTGCTGGATTACCGGCTACAGATCTGAAGTGAGGCGGAGTGTGGGTCGGCTTCCTAACTCTGCGATCAGTGATGGCAGGCGTGGTGCATCCCTTTAGGGGATAGCCGGTGTGCAATATTTTCTCTGGGGTAGTAGGAATTTCTGCAGAAGGCCTCCTTTTTTGCAGGCGTTCAGCCATCAAGATCCACTTCCTGACCGTGAGATTAACTGTGGTAATAGGTGCCTGCGGGAAGCAAGCCCGCACCAGGCCGGAAGATTCAAACTTTTAGTTATAGAGGCGTTAGCTTATACAATGTTTGGTACAAAATATATATTTAACAAACAACGTTTCGTTGTGCAATGTTAGAGCATGAGTGAAGGAATAGGTTAGGGTGGTTACTCAATTTTGAGTAATCAAGGTGGCTACCAACATCTATACCATTCATTATCTTTATTTTATTATGTTTTTAAATTAACGATTAAGATTAGCTAAGGGTAATTTAGGAAATGAAAAACATACCACACCTGATTACTGTATATATTATACTCAAACCCTAATACAAACTATCTACCTAGCCGCCGTCTCTCCCTTCTCCCACCCCCGTCGGCGTCACTCCGCCGGCCAGATTCTCAAAAATCCAAACAAGCCATTCGCCAAATTCTCAAAAACCGTCTGCGTCAACAGAGCCTCCGGCTACATCGCCTCCTGGCTCGTCAGGCTCCTCCTCTCCCGCGGCTACACCGTCAGGGCCTCCGTCCGCGATCCAAGTCAGTTTCCTCATCATTTCCCTCTCCATTTCGTAGCTCTTTTCCGTTTCCCCCCTTTCTCACCACCGCTCGCGGCGGTTTGTTTGTTCGCAGACGATCCGAGGAAGAGCAAGCACCTCCGCGCGCTCGACGGAGCTTCCGAGCGGCTCCAGCTGTTCAAGGCGAACTTGCTTGAGGAAGGCTCGTTCGATTCCGTCATCCAGGGCTGCGACGACGTCTTCCACACCGCTTCGCCTTTCTACCACGACGTCCAGGATCCTCAGGTTAGATTTCTCTGCTTTCTGATTTTTCTTCTTCCTCCCTTTGGTGACTGTTAGGTTCGATTTTATTGTTCTGTGGTAGACTGGTAGTTGAGTTTTTAGGTTGTGCGCTGGAAAAGGTGGGATGAATAAAAATCCAAGATCTTATTTTTTTCCGCATTGGTAGTGATTTTGTCGGAGTGGTAGTGTTTTCTTGCATTGGTATTGTTTTTGTCGCATTGGTATTGATTATCATGTAATGGTATTAATTTGCATGTATTGGTATGGATTCAATCTGCAATGGTATTGATTTTTTGTGAAATGGTATAGATTTATATTGGTAGATTGTTTATATTGGTAGTTTTCGTGTAATGGTATAGATTTATTTTTGCAATGGTATTGATATTTTTCAAAGTGGTAGTGATTATCTAATGGATTGGTAGTGATTTCGTGTTTTTTTTTCTTTTGCAGAAAGATTGAGAAAAATAAGGAAAAGGGATCTGGCTGAAGATTATGGAAGTGAGAGAAAGAGGGAGAATTGTAATTAATAGATTCTTGTAACTACCTAAAATATAATTTATTAAAAAAATTAATTAATACAATTTATTTTTCATACCCAATTTACCCTTAGTAACCACGGTGATTACTACTTATGTAGTAATCACCGTAACCTGTCCCCATGAGTGAAGCCACCTCTGCAACAGATGAAAGGGAATAGGAAATTATGTTTCTCATTGGTGAAGCTCTGCTGGATTGGGTAATGGAACTGTAAAAGTATTAATATGGTGGCATGCGCGACACCAGAATCACATTGCTAGTAACACAGGCTTGAAAGTTGCACAGTGTGTTTGGACCATGAAAGTTGCATTGTTGCATCAAGAGGTGGAAGCTTTTTACGTTAAGAGATACATGTGCAGGATTCAAAAGAAACACAACAAACTAACCAAGACAATTTAGAAGCTGCGTTTGGATGTGGAGCGCTGGGTTCCACCACTTTGTCTTTCCCACGAGAAACCTTGCTTGCAATGCCGATCGCTGCCAAAGGTGAATTCAAGTTGCAGTGGGAAAAAATCCATTAATCCACGCGGACAAATGCAATGCGGTTTGTGAAAGAGAATATGAGTAAGCGCAAGCAACCGACCATTCTGTTTAGAAGAATGGCCAGTTGTTTTGTTTTTTGTGTTTAAAACGCGCCATCATCAGGTAGGTACAGAAGTGACATACCCAGGCGAGGTGGGTGAGTTGATAGAACTCGCAACGGACATCAGCAGTTCCACTGGTGTAGTTGGGATGTTTGAAGTAGCGAGGAGATTAGCGACAACAGCAGATGGCAGAGAATGAAACCTTAAGCAAAATCAAAAGGTAAGAAACAATAGCCAAGTTATGTGGAGCGAATAGTAGTGGAAGAGCTGATTTGAGAAACACTTTAACTATTTCAGCATTGTAAATTCACAACACTAAGGAACGAAATGTGACCGGATAGTTTGGGAGAGGCTTAGGTGAAGTTGCAATTGACAATGAGAGCGTGCCAAACCTCGTGTCTGCAGCATGCAATGGCTGTTGGGAGGAAAGCAGGGTCCCTTGATGAGTAAATGCAGTTCCCTCATGCAGGTGGCTGGAAGTTTATGCACAAGCACCAAACATATGAAGAGAAACAGGTTCAAGCTAGGGACTAAGTTATAACTAGGAAAGTAATAGACAGTGTGGTTCGGTAACAGTAAACTTCAATTGGGCGCGTGCGCTTTGTCACTGAGACATCCAGCGTGATTGGGGAACCCAGAGAAGAGGTCTGTTTAGTTCTGCGAGTCACAAAGGCACATGGTAAGATGGACGTTAAAAATGGTGCAAAGCATTGCAAGAGTACGTGCAAAGGTAAAATGGGAACAGAGACCTGGAACCTGACCCAGGCTGAATTGTGACAACGACAATGTTGGGCTTCTTTCCAAATCGTGGCCCGTGGCCTCGTGCATAAATGTCTCACAGGTTGTCGTCCTTCTCAATAGATAGAGCCCAAAAATCATCCATCGGATCCGATGCCTATCCAAGAGGAAGGTTGACTAGAAAGATGCATTCATGTCTTAACAAAGCTTCTATCTATGGAGGGCACCCACCACCGCGGTCAGGCGTAGTAGCAAACAGAACACTGGCAGAAACCTAGAGGAAGGATTATGCAGTCTGACCGAGCAGCAAAAAAGGAGCAAATGAACACCCATTGTGGACCATTAGACGTACGCGGAAACTGCACATAACGAAAAGTATTAAATAGACATCATATTAGTTGCGTGCAAGCAAATAAGGTGGGCTGAATACATGAGGGGCAGGAACTAACCATTGCTTTAGTTGATGTGGATGGATCGTTGCTTGATACTTCCCATACCATAAAGGTGCATCGCGACGAACAACAGTTCTGGAACAAAAAGAACAACCAAGATAGCACCACTCACGGGATGTATCGATGTTAGTAATATTCACTTTACATCGGAACTAGCCACTCTGGACATGAAACCATTGTCAGGCTAGCACTGGAAAAGTAGTGTGGACATTAGTTAGGCTACAAAAGGAGGGTAGCTATCGTCGAAGCACATACCACGGTACTATCAGACCGGATCCGTTGCAGGTTTGGAATTGTTTTCAAGGATTCACGATATACCGTCAGGGCCTTTTCAGGAGTGTTGCATTCAGCTGGGACGACCCCAATTGGCGCAACAGCATCAGCGAAGCTGCATAATAGAATTGCAGTTAGATAGATGTGCAAGTGGAGCTATGTATGCGTAGGAAGCAAACCCGAGTATGCGCATACAATGCAGCGAGGCCTTGAGTTTCCTGAGCTGCTGGCAATATGACTACTTGAGTAGCAGAAGTGTTTGAAGCGCCAACAGACCCTACAAAACAAATGCACTTGTTTGTTATTTCATAGTACACAGAAAAGGGCAAAAAGTGCCTGGCAAGAAAGGTCGTTGACAGGTCTCTTAAGAGAAGTCTAAAAAGTAAAGAGGGTAAGCAGAACGCGGAATAAACACACAAACTCAAACAGACGCAATGAGGATTGGGTGTTTTTTGAGAGCCGGGATACATGAGTAAATGTACAGACAATATTACCCGCACACATGTGTTGAAAAACTCTAATGTAACAAAGCATACATAGGTAACAAAATTCAGGACGCAAAGCATGTTCAGCCTGGGATAATCGTAGGGTTAAGGAAAAGTAGAACATACCACGCCACATGGACAAATTGAGGGTGGTAAAAGCGATGATCACCGGTGCATCATCCTCTATGAGTATGAGGTCAGCCAAATGTAGCTTGTCCGCAAAGTCCGCCCACAATGTAATCGAGAGTGGGAATTTCCTGCACCCAACAACAATAAGATTCAGCGCTCCAACGCATACTTGGCAAAACTACAGATAATGAAGGAAACAAACCGCTCATTTTCAATGATGACAGACTGCTTCTTAGCCGAATGTCCCTACTTCTGGAAGTAAGTCACAGGTGTGACAGAGACCAGCCGACCCACCACATCTAGGACGAAACAATGGCAAGTTAAACCGATGAATAGTGTGGACATTTGAGAAGGAACAAAGAGACTAA